ATGAAAAGGAAAAAATTTACTCGTATTGTTTTCAAACGCTTACGTAATGAAAAGGAAAAAGTTTACTCGTATTTTGAAATAAACTGCTATGATTGTAACTGCGTTTAATATCATAATTAATGTTAATAATACCGATACATAACGAGCTATTACAAATTTCATCTAGCATATAATGTACATGTCCACATCCATATCAACATCAAAAGAATATCATGACATAAGGCTACACATGCCTCAAATATAGATTGTATAATTTAGATACAGATACATGTCTCTCAAAATATATACATACATAAATCCCAGAATAAACGAAAAGTCAATTGCAGCTGAGTCCTTTAGCCCTGTATGGGCCTTTTGCACTGGGAGGGCTTTCCCGCTGCTACTGGGTAACTGAAATATATATCCCTAAACGGGGTGAGATTAACCATCTAGTAAAATCTGGGTTTATGGAGCATCTCCATCCAAAAGTTCACTTCCTGCACAAAAGGTCAGATACAAAGTATAAATAACAACATGTAATTTTGTAATTCAGATACTTCCAATGCTTGTGTCCCTCAATGGAAGTACATAGTTGTAACTTGGATACTTCTGAGGCTTGTATCCCTCGTATGGAAAGTGTCGTGCACTTTAGAGGCTTGTGTCCCTCAATGAAAGTACATGCTTGTAATTGTTCAATGGCCTTGAAACTTGAATCCGACAAATCATGAATCAAACAAATCACATCACAATATCTTGTATACTTTTCTACTTGAATCCAACAATCACATTATAACATCTTGTATACTTGGATACTCGAATCAAACAAACAAATCAGAACATCTTGTATACTTGGATACTTGAATCAAACAAGCACAATATCATACGACTTGTCTACATGAATCCAATATACTAAGTATCTAACACATCCAATCATAGAAATATCCAAACCATCATTGCAATGGACCATAGTGGAACAAACAAAGTAGGAGAAAACTCCTAAACTGAAAGCTTACCTGTTAAAGCTTTCCTTACAAAATAGCTTGAAATTCAATAAGTTATCCAAAATACCCTTAACTTGATTTGTACTCCAAAAAACCTATTTCACATAGGATATTGGAATCATAAATGAATATTAAGCATCAAAACATGTCATTGTAACATCATTGAACAACTTAAACATGTTGCTCCACATGATGGCCGAAACATAGATTAACATGTCATTATATATGGATTATATTATCTGTCTATCAGGTGTCTGTATAAAATTGAGAATTATCCTTATAGGTCTATATTACAGCCAAACTGTTTTTCGTGAGATTCTATCTGAGATGGTAAATGTTTGTCATACTCGATTAGTCATTTACCATTACATATGGTTTGTAGAGTTTTCAAGTGCTAATGATGTGCATGTATGAGACCGTGCAATTAAGTATAGTATGAAAGAAAATATGCATGACAATACATAAAGAAAAAGGGAAGAAATTAATTAGTTCACATAATTATCTAAGAGTTATTATGATTATTTCACAAGTAGCTTTTACAATTTTATTTATTATACTGCACTTAATACCATATGCAATGCTAATACACTGGCTCGAGACAGGATGTTACGCCAGCAGTGATGGTATATGCGCATCACGTGGCAAGAAGCCAGATGTTGCATGAGAGCATAACATATTGTGTCATTACTATTTTGTTTATGTAATCAGTATTGAGCAGATTATGACATGATAGTTTTTGTATTACACATTTTGTATAATCCTTCATTACATTTGATAGATGATAATATATAGGATTATATTTTGAGTATGTGAAATGTGTAATGATATTATGAGAGAATTTATGTAATGATGTATATTCATTTGAGTTATGTAATATACATGAGTTTTAATATTAATGTACTACTTATGATAAAAGATATATCCTGAAATTCTATGCCAATGAAGCTAGTATTTTGATGAGATGGAGTAGGGACGTAAAGATATGAATGTTGATGTTTAAATGTAATAAGATGTGAAATCCTTTGCCAATGAGGCTAAGTAACTTTATATATGAGATGTTGATGTTAAGAGAAGAATGATGATATATAGTATGTAAATGAAATGAATGAAAAGTTAAGGAAAATAGATGTACCAATGCTTGTTGTATCAAAGGTTATATAACTTCTACAATAGGTACTAAAAGTGGGGTGCAAAGTTCCCCAAGAGTGCTTGAAACTTGAAATGAACATGTTGGTATTCTGGGGAGAGTGCTAAAGCATGCTAGGAAAAAATATGTAGCTAAATCCCTCGGCTGCAGAGAACTTAAGCGTGCTAAAATGACCCTAAATACATGATAAAGGAGCGCCTAGAGGACGCTAAGTGGTTCAGAATGGCCAATTGGTTCTATGCAAGTGCGTGTTAGCGCGCCGGAGAACACTAAAGCACGTGCTTCAAAGAAGATTTTGATTGAGGCAGTGCACTCTAGTGTATCATAACTATGCATAATGAACAATGTATGATAGATTTAATTAAAGTATAAGTCTTCTGCATAATGAACAGTGCACTCTAGATTTAATTAAGTACGAAAGTAAATTATGAACAAGAAAGTAAACGTTTAAAGAAAAAAAATCTATTCATAATTTAATTTAACTGTTATGATTGTAACTGTGCTTAATGTTATACGTAATGATAACAAATTGGAATACTACGAGATTTTACAGTCACCGTTTATCAAGTACAATTGGTCATAAATTAAAAAATAAATTGAGCAGTTATATTAAAGAAGTTATTTTGGTTATGTTAACATACTTTTAGTAAATTTACAAAAATTATGAGTGTGTAGCTATGGTAGTGATGAGTCTCCAAATTACAATATATTAAGGGTTAATATGAGAACAAAATTGATTTAAAAGTAATTAAAAGTTATGAGAATTATAATTAAAGTGTTATTTTATTCTCAGTAATATTCTAATAAAAAATTCTTATATTTTGTAGTAATTTTCAGCTCAATAAAGAGATAAATTGGAGAGCTCAAGTGGATTTGCTTGGATTTCTGAATCATTGAAGATCTTATTGAATCTTCCTTTGAATATTTTTAAGGACAGTTTCCTTTAAATTTAAAAGGAAAGATTTTAAGGATTTGATTAAAGATATCATTGGAGATTCTAGTGAAGATTCCATTGAAGATATTATGAGAAATTAAAAGATATGGTTTCATCACTATAAAAAGGAAACTCTTGGAAACACAAAGGAGGCTGGCACATTTGGCAACAGAGAGAGAATGAGGCAAGAACGAGAGATGGCGATTTTCGAGAGAGAAGCTTGAAGGAGATTGAGCAACATTGATTCTTCTTCTTCTTAATGAGTTCTTTTAATTCTTTTTCATTCTTTATTTTGTTTAAGCCAGCTATGTCTGACTAGTTTGTTTTTGTAGTTAAGATTATGGATCTGACGTGAATCCTATTTGTGGTTTAAATTTGTTTCTTTAATAAATTGTTTCAGTTATTTGTGTTTTACCTTGCATGAATTTCTATATCCTTGTATGAATTGCTCACTCTTATAGGGATTTGAGGGTTAGAGCTCACAATAGACATATTGGGGTTTTAATTTTGACAGGGGTAAAATATCAATTCTTGCATGATCTAGACATAGGCTTGCTTGAGTTGCAGACTTCGTAATTCATTGTGTGTAATTCTTAATCTAAGAGGAATCACGGAGACATTAGGATTCTAATTGAGGTAAAGGGTTAAAGTCACTAAGACATTGAGATTTAACCAATTATTTTTAAAAGATGAATTGTTTGAAATATCTGAGATGAATTATTACTGAAATTAATTTAAACTACTCTAGAAGGATCTGACATGAAATAATTCCTAGCTACAGTTTAGTCATTAAAGTCTTCATTCGTTTTTACTCGTCTTTGTGTTCTTGCATGCTCTTTATTATTAATAACAATTTTTTTTATTTTAATTAAAAAAATTATTCTGTACATCAAATTGATTTGTCCAAATTAAATGGAATAGTGAGAATAGTACTTTGTGTCATTAATCCTCGTGGGAACAATATCTTATTCATTACTTTATTACTTGTACGACTGGTATACTTGTCGTAATCGCAACAAGTTTTTTTTTTATCAAGTACAATTGGTCATAAATTAACAAATAAATTGAGCAGTTATGTTAAAGAAGTTATTTTGGTTATGTTAATATACTTTTAGTAAATTTGCGAAAATTATGAGTGTGTAGCTATGGTAGTATTGCAAATCATCCATAGGACTAAAAGATGAGGAGTAGAAGTGTCAAAGAGAAATTAATTCTCAATTAGATTAAAATATTGTTTATTTGAAAAATTGTAATTGAAGTCCAATTATTGTAGATTAATAACTTTCTTTATAGTCCTACTGGGATTAGGTTGTGGAAATAAAAAAATTTAGACTTAAAAAGAATATGAAAAAGAAGCATTTAATGAACACCAAATAGTTAAATAAATAAAATTTAAAGATCAAACACGTAATTAAACTTGATTGAACGTTAAAACTTGAAAAAAAAAATCATTTGATAATCTAATTTATCCAAAACAATCAAGCCGTATTTATACCTAGGAATTTATAGAGAAATACATTAATGGAGAAATATTTTTTCCAATTATTGGAAAAAATATTTCTCGTATCCCTTATTAATCAATCTATGTGCTTTGTACTTTTATTTTAATTTTTTAATGATAGGACTCGGCTTAAACATATGTGTGGAGGAAATTTTTTTCTATCTTCTCTAAAATGACAAACTTTTTCCTGCATTAATTGCCTATTACGAAATTTTTGCCATTTGTTCACACGGACTGTTGTTTGTCATAAAGTGTAACCAACTGCTGAAGAGATAGCTCTTTTTCTTCGTAACTTGCTTCCTCTTACTATTTGCGATGAGTTTCTTAAGAAGAGAATTTTCTGCTTTCAATTATACTTTTACTCGTTGTCGAACAAATTTTGAACTGCCAATATCTATATCTGCAACATTCTCATTAATCAAGGGTGGATAACGCAATTTAAGTAGTTAGGATCGTTGGAAGTACGGATTTGGACCCAAAAATTCGTGCCTTCGTGTCTGGGAAGTACTCCGCACCAGGTTTGGTTGTGACCTCTCCAGTTTCAGCAACTCTAACGGGATAACTAAGCAAATGTCCAGGCAAGTCATCATCTAGAGTGTCACTGTAATAGAGTTCCCAGTACCTTTCGGAAATCTGGTTTATTTGTCTGACACATTCCAAACTCTCTGGAGTAAGAAAGGAGTCATCCAGAAAGCCTAAGTGCTCATACCACAATGCCATTCTAAAGCCATGGATCTGACCCCTGGCTGGCTTCTCTGTAGCTAATTGATATGGTTGGTACCCTCCCATTGCAATCTCTGTGTCCCTGGCCCCATTCATTGACCGCTCATTGATGTTAGCTGATCCAATAATTATGTATTCGTCATCAACTGCAACAAAAATAGACTACTCAAATTCAGTTATTTAATGGAAATGTAATCATATGTTTGTTCTCATTGATGGTTGGATATTAAACTATTAAACTACTAAAAAATTGTCCACTTCAAATACCTTAAATGAATATATTTAGTTACACAAATGATGAATCTTTAGTTAAACAAAGGAATGCTATGGATGTAAGTTATTACCTATCATCATTTTGGCATGGACATAGATCATGAACCGCCTTGCATGTTGAGCTCTGCTGTAATCTGATTCCAGTTCTGGCTTTTTAGAAGGCTCATATTCTTCATTATTCATCTTCTCTCGATTTCCAAGGCAAAAGAAACTCAAATAGTCTTTTGGGTTTGCTTTAATTCCTTTGGCTTGTAGAGCCTGAACAATATCGGTGTACATCATATCCATTGTCCTTCTTTGCCAATTCAGTATGCTCTGGACAGCTGCACTGTCAGGAATACCCTCTGGCCACATTGGAATAACTACATAGACAGTGAATCTCTCAGCTGCTTCGATCTTGCTAACGAGTTTGAGAGACAGTTCTTTAGGAAGCAGATTTAAGGCTCCCACCTCCTCAACCTGGAGGTCATTTGAATTCCAGCAAAAAGAGCTTCCAAGGAAATATTGGTTTTCTATGTAGATAAAGTTTTTAGCTCTCCTGATAGCATTAATATACGCATTCTGGATGCTTCGGTCAATGATATGATCTTTCCCAACCAGAAGACCATACCTGGCTGCATCCTCTTGGGTATTTGGGAGGCCATATGCTGCAGCTCCTCCGTCAATGGATCGAAACAACTGAACATTCCATGTTTCTTTGTCTCCAGGGGACATTACTGGAGATGGAGGTACGAAAATGTCATCAAGTTGTCCAAGCTCAACAAGTGAAACATTCTCCTTACCTTGTTTCTTCCACCTCTGCTCAAAATTAATCAGAACATCCCAGGCAATTGGTCCTTCTAAGCAACAATGTATGTCATGCCAAGGCTCTCTTGGTCCACCTTTTGCAATTGAGGCACCTTTGAAATTTGGTTGATGAAAATCATCATGGTGAGCTGTCCCCAGGGTCCTAAAAATCGAATGCATTGGGGTGTCATATCTCCCATCACAGAGATCAATACCTCCAATGAAGCTCAAAATTCTCCTCCTCCTCTCTAAATTCCCACCGGGCATCTCACCATCAACAACTAGGATCTTCTGATGATGTGTAAACATGGTGGCAACCTCAATGTCTTGGACAATGCTTTGCCCATTATCAGGATTACGAGGACATAATACACAATGCACCCCAGTGTTACGGAAATAACTTTCTGTATCTTCATCATGAGTTGCCATCACTCCATCCTTCTTTAGCAACTTTATTGAACTTCTATCATCCCAAACAAGCATTAGGACTGTAACTCCATCACCAGCCTTCATTTTGAGAAGTTCCCCAAGTGTCAAATCTCCTCCTGGTTTTTTCCTACTCAACTCCCTAATCAAGGTAATTTCGGTATAGACAGACCATCCTGCTATATATATCATGTGCTTTGCCTTGTAAATGGCATCAAAGACTTCTTCCCAGCATCGGTTATGCGCATAATACTTGCCGCCAGTGAAAGGAATTTCCGGGAAAAAATTGTCTGGAATATGAGCATCCTGGTAAAGCGTGACCCTGCAACCACTTCTCTGTGTGAAGTAAGTGTGTGGGACTCCTGGAAACTCAGGACTTGTAATCCCTCGAGACCAGTTCATGTCCTGAGTGACATCAGAAAACTGTAACTCTACATGAATTCTAGGACCTCCTTCGAGAGGTTTATTTTTCTTATTCAGGATCTGTAGCCATCTATCAAGTTTTTCTCCATTTCCTAATTCTTCAATGGGCAGAAAAGCTCTCGCAATCACTTTTGCCCCAATTGGATCTTCTTCTTTGATACAAAACACAACATCAGTTGACACGTGAGCAGTATAAATTTGAAAAGATTCATTCCACTGAAGATAAGAGTGATCATTGTTTGTAACTTTAGTTCTGCCTACAGTAGTATTGCCTAATTTAATGGTTGCATATAATCTGGCAGTATCTTTTCCAATTGGAATAGTTTCTTCAAATAGCTGCAGCAGTTGTCAATAACAAAGACAGACTTTGAGATAGTCCATACAGTTGGAAAAATCAGGTTTTGACATAGATATTAACAAGACTTCCAAAAGCTGCAGTTAAAAGACTGAAAGTTTTCTATAAAGCAGATATCAGTTAGATCTAGCAAAAGCATGCAAACACACACTAAACACGTAGAATAGACCGACTTGTACATTAACAGAGTTTTGTTTGACACATTTTGTTAAGTTGGAAAGGCATTTTTTTCTTCATTACTAATGTTAAATGCAAATAATTTGATTAACATCAGAAACATTATTTTTTAGCATGAATATTGCTAATATTTCCCACACTATTCCTAATATGATAGAAGGACAGCTCGACAGGATGAACTAGACTTATCATATCTCAATATTGAACACGATCATTTGCATGCTAAGACTACTGATAAAATTTTATGGTTGAAAACATTTTTAAAGCAATCTGCAGCTGTTAAGAGGCACCGCAGAGATGCATTATTTGACAAAGCGTTCATTGGGTATGATGATTAGGCAATACACTTTAATGCATCTCAAGTTATGTCAATTAAAATCCAATGAATGTTGCTCAGCTGAAAACATACCCGGAGTAAGTGACTAGAGAATTGGGTTCAATTCCCACCAAATATATTTTTAAGAGAGGGACAATAAATTTTAATTAGTTCCATAATAGGCTCAAAAAAGTTGAAGTTTGGGAATACCGGGTCGACTTGCTTGAAAGAAATAATCAGGGTCGGTATATTCCAAAAATAAAATAAAAATTGTCAATTAAATTGGTCTTAATTATAAGTTTGGGGTTAAATAGATGGAAAGGAGGAGGTCTACCTAAAGGCAAGAAAGGCAAGAATATCAAATAAGATTAAGTTAATATACTTATCTGGTTCATAGAACTTTACGAATTTCTAGAGATTATGAACCATACCTTGGGGAAACAGTGGCAGCAATCTTTACCATAAAACTTATCAACCTCAAAAATTGTAACGTGAAGAACCCCATGCAACAGCGTTCCTGTTCTCAATTTTCCCATCCCAGAGCACAAAAATATTGCCCGAAACTGTTGAAACAAAACGTGAAAGCAGACGACTTTTGAAGCTAACCAATTGGCAAAAAGAAATGTCAATGGGCTACAGCCTTTTTTAGAAGAAATTATGGAGACTCGACACACGGAAGCCAGTTGAAGATGACCATTGAAATAGATAAAATACATATATTTGTGATGGTGGTGCAGGTAAATGAGGTGGAAAGTAAGCTTAATTGTGTGATAAGAAGCTTAGTTTTATGTTAATTTTTAATGCCATTTGGGTATTATATTGTAATGAAGAGAATATTCGGAAGAAGCTTTTGAGGAAACTTCCATGTAAAACCTTAAACGACGACCGAGCCAGTGAAGTCCTCGCTAAGATTTGGTCCTCGATAATTCACACTAGTATCAAAAGGACACCAAAACCTTAAACTTTTGCTTTTTTGTTAGGATTTAGGACCAGGAAGGGAGGAGTAGGAAGTAAAAGTAGTAAAATGTTGTTGATGAGTTTCTCCGATATCCACGGTAGTCATTGCAACATTTAGAGCAAAGGCGTTGATTTAGTCAATAATCATCCCAGAAGACGATATCAACAAGTAATAAACGATTTATCTGTTAGATATATATTTTAAATTTCAAATTTCAACTGGAAATCTCATTTGAATACTCAATAAATATATCAATTATTATTCTAAAGGAGGTGTATGAGCTGGTATAAAAATATGGGGTATGTTAAGATGAATCCAAAGCAACCTGACTTGAATTAGATCCCACGATTGAGCGGTTTTCAAAAAATAAAATAAAATTGATGCACTTAAGACAATTGACATAAAACAACTAATAAGTTTCTGCGAGGTTAACCATGTTATGGATTTCTTAGCTTAATTATGGCCACCATATTCCTATTGGGTTACAATATTTTGGTCATCTTCATGAAGGTTGCGAGGTGCTTTTAATCCAGGATATGATTCGAGTGTCTATCCCACAAATAATTGTTTCTTCTTAGAGACCCTGACTGATACAAGACGCAGACTTGTATCTAGAAAGAACAGTAACACAATCTTATTTCACAATCAAATTCTCAATGACATACAACACTCACGGTTTTCCCTCTTTATACATCTGTTATTAACTAACTCCATTATGTAACTAACTAACTGTCTTTACATGAAATGACTAAAACACCCTTCATTTAACATGGTCAATGGCCCATGATGGAAACCCTTTCACCCTATTGGGCCTCTTCTTATGTGATGAAGCTTTTATACCCGTAACATTTGCGCTCTCTTCGAAGACAACCTTGTCCTCAAGGTTTAATTCTGGATAGATATTGCGCAAGTCAAAGACATTCTCCCAGGACGCATCTTCAGGTACAGTGGGAGACCATTGTATCAGACATTGCTGCACTGATTTCCCTTTAACAGATATCTGTCGAGAAGCGAGAATTGCAACTGGTTGCTGTACTGGTTTATTGGCAACACTCAAAACTAGTAAAGGTGCAAAACTAACGTCACTGGTGCGATGAAATGGTTTTAAAACAGACACATGGAACACAAGATGAATTAAACTTCCTTCCGGTAAAGCCAATTTATAAGCAACTGGATTAATAACTTGGTCAACTCGAAAAAGGCCAAAATATCGCTTCGCAAGTTTGTGACGAGCCCTCTTTGCAACAGACACTTGGCGATATGGTTGCATTTGAGCAATACCTGATCTCCTCCGTTAAAACTTATGTCTTGACGATGTTTATCGGCTTGATGTTTCATTCGTTGCTGAGCACGTTGTAACTGCACCTTGAGAAGGTGTAGCCCCTCTTGACGTTGTTGAAGCATCATATCCACAGCTTCAACGTTGACAGAATCCTTCTGATATGGAGGAATCAGAGTTGGTGTTTTGCCATAAACCGCTTAAAATGGAGCCATGTTAATGGCAGAATGCACTGATGTATTGTAGTGCAATTCGGCCCAACATAGGAACTGAGACCAACGTGCATTCTGATCAGAGCAGAAAGCACGTAAATACTGCTCAATGTAGCGATTTTTCACCTCCGTTTGACCATCGGTTTGGGGATAGTATGCTGAACTTGCATGTAACTTAGTGCCACTTAACTGAAAAAGTTGGCGCCAGATTTTACTCATGAAAATAGCATCTCTGTCCGAAACTAATGACCTGGGAAAGCCATGGAGTTTTATCACCATTTCACAAAACAGTTGGGCCACAGTAGCAGCTGTATAGGAAGCTGGTAATGGTCCAAAATGACCATATTTAGACAATCGGTCAATGAATACCAATATAGTGGAAAACCCATTAGATTTTGGTAAGAAAGTAATAAAATCCAGAGTTAAATCATCAAACATTGCATCAGGAACTGGTAAGGGATGTAACAAACCAAAAGGAGCGCGAGTGGAGTTTTTGATTTGTTGACATATGGTACATTCACGAACAAAACTAGTAACACCCTTACGCATATTCTTCCAACAAAATGAAGCTGATAAACGCAAAAAGGTGTGTTGCACGCCAGCATGCCCTCCCATTGGAGTACTATGGGCTTCAGTTAACAATGCTGACCTTAAATTGGAATTGGAGCCAACAGACACCTGTTCTTGCGAAAAAGGATCCCTTCCTTCCGTTGTAACTCATGATCCACGTTAGAACCTTCATCAAGAGCTGTATGAAGCTATAATAACTCTTGATCTGTTATATTCTCTTCTTTGATTTGCTCCCAATGTCAAACGTAGGTGCAGACTGTAGAGCATAATGGACCGCTCTTTCTCCACCCAGAAACTGCCTAGACAAGGCATCAGCTACAATATTGGAGGCTCCAGATTTATACTCGATGGTAAAGTTGTAGCCCATCAGTTGATAAATGTATTTTTGTTGATCTGGTGTTTGAATTGTTTGATGCAGTAGCTCTTTCAAACTCTAATGGTCAGTCTTAATGACAAATTGGGAACCAAGGAGATAGTGTCTCCATCTTTTGATGGCTTCAGTAATAGCAAATAGCTCACGAACATAGGCTGATGATGCAGCCATCCGTGGACCAAGTTTCTTGCTAAAAAAAGAGATTGGCTTCCCTTTTTGTAGCAACACGGCTCCAACTCCAACATTGGAAGCATCAGATTCCACAACAAAAGGAAATTTGAAATCTAGTAACATTAACACATGTGTGGAGGCAATTGTTGTTTTCAATGATTGGAAGGCAGTGGTTGCTTCCTGATTCCACGAAATCTTGTCCAGCTTCAATAAGTCTGTTAAAGGATGAGCTATGGATGCATATCCTTTAAGAAACCTACGATAATAATCGGTTAGGCCTAATAAAGCACGCAACTGCTTGATTAATTGAGGAACAAGCCATTGAATTATAGCCTAGATCTTTTTTGGGTCAGCCTTGACTCCCATGGCAGTCACTACATGTCCTAAGTAGGATATCTCAATAGCTCCAAACTCACACTTATCGAGTTTAACATAGAAAGAGTTTTGGAGTAGACAATTCAAGGCTGTCTCTAAATGAGTGACATGCTCTTCCAAAGAGGAGCTATAAATGAGAACATCATCAAAGAAAACCACAATAAATTTCCTCAAAAAAGGGCGAAGTATCCTGTTCATGGCGGATTGAAATGTGGCAGGTGCGTTTGTGAGGCCGAAGGGCATCACCTTGAACACATAATGGCCTTCATGGGTTCGAAAGGCAGTCTTGTGAATGTCTCCCGGTTTCATCCTAATTTGATGATAACCTGAACGTAGGTCCAACTTGCTAAACACCTTAGCATTGTACAATTCATCCAAAAGTTCATCGATTGTAGGTACAGGAAAGGCATCTTTAATTGTCATGGCATTTAGAGCTCGATAGTCTATGCACATTCTCCATGTGCCATCTTGCTTTCTTACTAACAAAACCGGAGAAGAAAAAGCACTGTGGCTCACTTGAATCCAACCCGAGGCTAACAAATCAGCCACCTATTTTTCTATTTTAGACTTTTGATGATGAGGATATCTATAAGGTTTCACCTTAACATGTTTGGAATCATCTGTTAACTGAATGGCATGAAGTATATGTCTAAATGGGGGCAACGATTTAGGGATATCAAAAACTTGTTGACAAGCAATCAAGATATGCCATAACCGGTCAGGTATTTTCTCCTTCAAAAGAATAAGGTCAGAATTTACCTGTAATTCCTTGGATGAAGACTCTGTCAGCAATAAATAGTTACATACGGACTCTGTTTGCAATTGCTGCCTACTGCCATTTTCTGGTTTGATACCATGCAATACTACCAATTGATTATTCCATTGGAACTCCATCAACAAGTCAACATAGTCATGTGTAACACGCCCAAGTGTGACCAACCATTGCATTCCTAAGACTATGTGCAGGTCACATGAATTCAAAACATACAAATCAGTCTCAAAGCAGTAGCTTGTATCCACAACTTCACCTTAGCACATTTCTTATCACATAGCAAGAACTCTCTGTTACCCATAAATACTCTCATCTTAGTAGCACGTACCATGGGTAGCCTAAGTTGCTCAGCTAATTCCCTTCTAATAAAACTATGTGAACTACCATAATCAATTAAAACTTGTACCTGTTGCTGGTTGATATTAGCTATGAGAACCAATGATCGAACATAAGTTTTTCCAACAAAAGAATGTAAGGCAGCATCAACCCTTGGTATAGAATTGTCTTCTCTTCGCCATAAAATTTCCTCCTCCTGCTCTCCCTTAGTATTCCATTCATTTCACTGCCACTACTGTTTCAACCATACTCCAATATACCAGTCTTTTCCATTAATGTTACTAATCTTACCATTGCGTTACTTCCTTAGCTTTCACACAAGCACATACTTTCTAATTTCAATGGCACTTTGTCGTATCCTATCATTCCGACTCACATTAAATTCCATGCTTATATACTTTATTTTACTTTGTCACGTGTCTTCACCTCTTCTTAGGTAATCACAACTATATCTTTCTCTTTGTGATACGAAACTAACAACCCTCATAAA